TAGCATGACAAAGAAATTTGATTCTAGAAACGAAAAAGACACAGAGACCATCTGAACTCTACACATATGATCCACGCTCTCCGTACAGGCTCACAGCTGCATTTAACAAATATTAAATGCAAAACAGACCTAAAATTCGTGACGCCATTTTGTTGTGTCTCTGTTTGGTTCCGTTTCGGTTCGGTTCGGTTGTCAGCTGCTCGACCCCTCTCGTCTCCCTTGTGTCTGCTCAAGTCTGGTGCTGCTCACTCTGTCTGGTGCTGCTTCGGCTGGTGCGGCTGGCGGTGGCTTGCTCCTTTCGGCTGATGCTGTCTGCTGGCTCCTGGGTCGATGAAAACCAGTGGGCTCCAGCTTGAAGACTTGTCAAAATGTCAAAAAACTCTAGGCTAACATTTGAATGACGAAGAGGCGATTTCTTCAGCTTTGGACATATTTATTAACGAGAGAGACATGAAAGAGCGTCCACACAGCTCGAATGTTACTGAAGCTCTCCCCAAAGAGACGCGTGACCGTGCCTGCTGCTCGCTCTCGTCTTAAAGGGCCAGTACACAAAATATACCACACCATCAAGGCTTTTTGATGTGCATTTAGAAGTGTTGCATTAAAAATGCGGAAAAAAAGTCGGATGGAAACAGCAAAATTCGGAAAAAAATCCTCAATTCACTAAAAAGTTCGTTCGCTTGAGGTGGTTTTTGGATGATTCGCAAAGTAGTTAATGTGCAAAACGGGAGATGGAAACACGTTTGCTGAATAAATTCTGACGTAGCGCATATTTACCTCACGTGACGTTCAGCTGTTTCTGCTTTCCTGCCTCGTCCCTGCGTAGTTGCACGTGCCTTTCTGCTGCGTAGTTTAACATTGCGTTTATTTCCCTACGTCTCCTGGCAGCGTTAAACATAGCCTGTACTAGCTGAATAGATGGAATAATTACAACTTGCCCAATAGCAAGGTATTCACGAAAAAATCGCTCCATTGTCCCGAGATGATTAGCCTCGGCTAGTTAGCAAGTTTCACTTCCCGTTTACTACCGCAAAGCTTGTCGCTGACGTCTGACGTAATCAGGCGTTGCGTAGCCTCGTCTGACGTAATCACGTGTTGCGTAGCCTCTTCTGACGTAATCACGTGTTGCGTAGCCTCGTCTGACGTAATCACGTGTTGCGTAGCCTCGTCTGATGTAGTCACGCGTTGCATAGCTTCGTCTGATGTAATCACGCATTGCATAGCCTCGTCTGACGTAATCACGCGTTGCGTAGCCTCGTTTATTCGCACCAAACAGTCGAGAGGGAAACTAGATGGAAACAGTCTAGATACAAATTTTTATTTATTTAATTTTTTGTGAATTTTGAAAAGTTCGATAAAAATTCACTCTACAACTTGATGGAAACACGATTACAGTGTGTAACTCACGTGGTTTCAGAACACAGTATGTCAGCCACAGCACGCGTCACGCAGAGAGTGTGGCCTTCAGCAGTCAGCTAAATACAGAGAGAGAAAAAGTCTAGTTAACCAATCAGAATATGACAAATTGCTCAGAGGAGACTGCCTCCTCCTTGCTGTGGCCTGAYAAGGACAACAGCTGACACAGGGCAGACATAGTGGAGTCACAAATGTATCAAATCAAAGACAAGGATAAAAGATGTATCAAGAACTATCAGAAAGATACAAAAACATACACAAGTACAGTTAACAGATGTCAAGACACCCTGAACTGGTAAATGACCAGAGGAGGTGTTAAACTTTAATGTTGTAGACGCTCTTACTCAAAAATATTTTTGGGCACTGCCACCTAGTGTTGTGTTGTGGTAAGCTGCTTGTGGTGTATACGTGACTACGTCACATCCTGTACAGATACGCTGAATAGAGACGCAGCCGTTTTTCTTTGCACTTTTTGGCGCTCCGTTGATGAGAGAGTAATGTTCTGTAAAAGCTCCAAATAAATATGCCTACAAAGAGGCTGAAGAAACTCCAAAGCTCACTTATTTTTATTTCTCTGCAACGTCAACACATCTGCGCTACACTCCGTTCAACAGGAGGCAAATTATTTTTCTAGCACAGAGGCATTCACAGATGTGCAAGTTACCCATGCCATGGGCACTAACACCCCCTGTACCATCAAACATTTGAGTTTTTGAACTTTGCACTGATAACAGTCTGGATAGTGTTTTCCTCTTTGGTCCAGAGGACACAACGTCCATGATTTCCAAAAACAAATTTGACACGTGGACTTGTCAGACCAAAGGACACTTTCCCAGTTTGTGTCAGTCCATCTCAGATGAGCTTGAGCCCAAAGAAGCCGGCAGCATTTCTGGGTGTTGATATATGGCTTTGGCTTTGCATGGCAGAGTTTTAAGATGCACTTGTAGATGTTGAAATGAACTGTGTTCACTGCAAAGGTTTTCTGATATGTGTTTGAGCCTATGTGCCAATACAGTATCTGTTACAGAATGATATTGGTTTTAATGCAGCACTGCCTGAAGAGTTGAAGGTCTTGAGCATTCAGTGTTGGTTTTCAGTCTTGCTGCTAACTTGCAAAGATTAGTCCAGATTCTTCATATATTTTGATGATATTATGGAATGTGTATTATAAAATCCATTAAACCCATCCGTCCGTCCGTCCGTCCATCCATCTTCTTCTTCTTATCCAGGATCGGGTCGCGGGGGCAGCAGCCTAAGCAGAGAGACCCAGACTTCCCTCTCTCCAGCCACTTGGGTCAGCTCCTCTGGGGGAATCCCAAGGTGTTCCCAGGCCAGCTGAGAAACATAGTCCCTCCAGCATGTCCTGGGTCTTCCTCTGGGYCTCCTCCCAATGGGACGTGTCCAGAACACCTCACCAGGGAGGAGTCCAGGAGGCATCCTAACCAGATGAACCACCTCAACTGGCTCCTCTGGACGTGGAGGAGCAGCGGCTCTACTCTGAGTCCCTCCTGGATGACTGAGCATCTCACCCTGACACCCTGCAGAGGAAACTCATTTCAGATGCTTGTATCCACGATCTTGTTCTTTCAGTTACTACCCAAAGTTCGTGACCATAGATGAGGGTAGGAACGTAGACCGACCGGTAAACTGAGAGCTTTGCCTTCTGGCTCAGCTCTCTTCACCATGACAGACTGATACAATGCCCGCATCACTGCAAACGCAGCACCAATCCACCTGTTTATCTCCCGTTCCATTCTTCCCTCATTCGTGAACAAGACCCCAAGATACTTAAATTCCTCCACTTGGGGCAGGACCTCCTCCCTGACCCGGAGGAGCCACAGTACCATTTTCTGGCTCAAGACCATGGTCTCAGATTTGGAGACACTGATCCTCATCCCAGCCGCTTCACACTCAGCTGAGAACCGCTSCAGTGAGAGCTGGAGATCAGGATCTGATGAAGCCAATAGGACCACATCATCCACAAAAAGCAGAGATGTGATCCTAAGTTGACCAAAAAGGATCCCCTTAACACCGTGGCTGCTCCTAGAAATTCTGTCTCTAAATGTTATGAACAGAATCGGTGACAAAGGGCAACCTTGGTGGAGTCCAACCCTCACCGGAAACGAGTCCGACTTACTGCTGGCAATGCAGACAAAGCTCTGGCACTGGTCATACAGGGACCTGTCGGAACGGTCGGTGTAGGTACGGGTTGGTACGGGTCAGACTGTTTGGTTTTCCACTGATGTTCCAGTCTGGTTCCAATGGGTGTGTTTTGGGTGGTTGGTGGAGGTGGTTTTTAAGTTTTTTGAAAAAAAGTTAATGGGCAAAATGAGAGATGGAAAAACATTTGATGAATTACTTTTGAAATTTGAAAAATTTGAAAAAAGTTTGCCAATCAGTGACGAACAGTGTTCTGACGTCGCATTTTGGTGTCAGCTGGGGCCGGTTGGAACCACAATGAAGTAGGTACTAAAAAAAGTGCTGGTTCCATGGATCTGGCCTAATGGAAATGGCTTGGAACCGTACTGAACCATACCGAAACTACACTAAGTGGCACTAGTGGAAAAGGGGCTTATCAGCCCCATACTCCTGGAGTACCTTCCACAGGAGTCCCCGAGGTACACGGTCGAACACCTTCTCCACGTCCACAAAACACATGTAGACTGGTTGGGCAAACTCCCATGAACCCTCCAGGACCCTGCTGAGGGTGTAGAGCTGGTCCAGTGTTCCACAACCAGGACCAAAACCATACTATTATCCATTAAACCCTTGCAGATATTTGTTAAAAAACATTGTTCATAAACTGTTGGACTATTTGCTTAAGAAGTTGTTTGCAAAGTGGTGAACCTCCCCAATCCTTGCTGGTGAACCACTAAGCCTTTCGGGATTCTCCTGTTATACTCAATCATGACACTCAACCGTCTCCAATCAACCTATTCACCTGTGGAATGCTCCAAACAGGTGTTTTTCCACATTCCTTAGTTTCAGCGTTTTTGGATCGTGTTGCAGGTATAAAATTCAAAATGATGGAATATTCAAAATAAATAAATAAATAAATAAATAAATAAATAAATAAATAATAGATAACAAAGTTAAAAAGCCCAATAAAGTGTATTTGTTCATTAAGTAACATTAAATAACTTGTCTTTGTAGTGCATTCATTTCAATATAGTTTGCGAAGAATTTGCAATATTCTGTTTTTAATCCATATTTTACACAACATCCCAACTTCATTGGAAATGGTTGTAGCATTTACCTACTTTAGTATTTATTTTCCTACTTTAGTTAGACTTTTGCTGCTTTTAACTTTTACCCATTTGCTATTTTTAAGTAGTGTTTTACAACTTGTAGCATGTGTGTTTTTATTTTTAGCTTTGAATGATCATTTTCCTGTCTGTGGCATTTAGGTAACATTTGTTTAACTTGTAGCTAGTGTTTAGGCTTCTTCATTAATATAACAAAGTCATTCAACATTCCCTCTACACTTAATCTAGCTCCACTGCATCTTGTTGTGGATTGTGATATTTTGATACATATGATGTAAAACAAATGTGTGCTTTTGTCCCATGTGTGTTTTTGTTCAGTGGTGCTACCATGGGGAGTGTGTTGCATTCGGCACCTGGCCTCAGAATGTGGATGGAGGTTGGGGGCTCTGGTCGATGTGGGGGGAGTGCAGCAGGACCTGTGGGGGCGGAGTTTCTTCCTCCATGAGGCGCTGTGACAGCCCAGCGTAAGTAGGCAAAAGTAAGCTACAGCAAGCTGAACACACACACCCAGAGGCTCATTTCACAAAAGTCAGATTTCTAAATTCAGGATATGAGCTGTAAGCTGAGCTTGAACAAACCTTCAACTTGTAAACAGCTGTAATCAGTTGCTCTAACACCAAGCCATGCTCAATCAAGAAGCTGTAAATGGTTTAGGGTTAATGCACGTTCACTGTTTGTTTACTAGACCCACTGGTACGGTGTACATTTTAGGACATCCTCAGTTTTACTTCTCAGTCATCAGTCGTCAACAAAAAAGTTCTCAGTTTTACTTGTCAGTCGTCAACAAAAAAGTTCTCACTTTTACTTGTCAGTTGTCAACAAAAAAGTTTTCAGTTTTACTTCTCAGTCATCAGTTGTCATCAAAAAAGTTCTCATTTCTGTGGTGCACAAGGTTCAGTTCTGTGGTGCACAAGGTTTAGTTCTGTGGTGCACAAGGTTCAGTTCTGTGGTGCACAAGGTTTAGTTCGGTGGTGCACAAGGTTTAGTTCGGTGGTGCACAAGGTTTAGTTCGGTGGTGCACAAGGTTTAGTTCTGTG